TGCTGTTGAGGAAAACCAGACAAGAAGTAAAGAAACAAGCTATGTGTCTTTGCAAGGAATTTTTCAAAGTGACAACAATTGGTAATAGAGAAAAGTTTGCAACAGCTAAGATCTGGAGATGTTTCAGGTTAAAATTTCTTCTGTCCTGCTGCTATCTGTTGAGAGACTAGCAGAAGACACCATAAGTTTTTTTTAACTTCAGCCTGCAAGTGTGGCTGTAGCTAGAGAGGCCATGCTTGTAGTTCATGGGGGAATATGGGAAAGTCTTGCTGTTTGTCTTGGGGTATCAGATGAAGCAAAGTTTCTGATTTTTGTTTTGTAATCCAGAAGCCTGTGATATAGGGAGTATGTATTTGAAAACTTGAACCCTCTATGACATGCCCAGTACTTCAGCTTTCCAAATCCACCATGACAGTGCTGGGGGCGGGGCTTGTAGACTAGTAGGCACCAATTCCACCGAATTCTTTTAGGACACAGAGACCCTATGGGATCTGGTGATGGGAGCACTTCAGGGTAATGCTGTGATTGAGCCTCTCTGGACTTCCAGGACTCTTGCAGATCTTTTCTGAATCCGTGTTGTTTTTTCAAACACAGCCTGAGTCAGGGGAGAAGAAGGCATCAGAGGGATCTATGGTGTGAATGCATTCCTTCTGTAGCATTTATCACCATTGTAGAAATGGTGTAGAAATACAGAAACAATATTTGTGAAATTACTTGTTTTGCTTATTGTCTCCCCCATGACACTTTAAATTCTACAGGAAAGTCTGTGTCTGTTGAACTGAATTTCCCAGTGCTTAGCGTAGTGTCTGGCATATACTAGGCATTTAGTGAATACTGTATGAATGAGTGAAAAATTAATGCATTAGTGTTAATAGTTATTTGCCTATCTATAAGTAAATTGGAATTTTATGGTCTGAATTAATTTATATGATAAAGTACCACTTCATTCAAGTTTATTTACTAATACCAAATGTAGTATTAATCTTTTAGTAGAATATAGTAGGAACATTATATTCAGTAGTGTGCTGATAAATGTTAACAGCTGGTTTTCTGTAAGAAAAAGCCCTGGTTTGTGGCATTTTCCAATTTCTGTTGTCTAAATACACCTACCACGGCTGATTTCAAGCTAACCCACATGACTTTGTTGAACGTGGAGTTGGGAAGAAATGTGCATAACTGGTTCTTTTGACTCAGTGAATGCTGGTTCCGGAATGCCACTGAAGTGCTTTCCAGTGCGAGTTTAGTCATGCCTTGTTCTTTACGCACAGAGACAGCACTGGCGATACACATTCACTATAACCCATAGTCTACAAACGATTTTCAGTTATGGTAATGCTATCAGTCATAAAGGATCAACTCAAAAAGTTTCTGTAGCTTAATACTATTAAAGGTTGTTTCTTATCTGTGTGAAGTCATTGCTATGGCTGGTCAGCAGAGGGCTCTCTTTCATTTGTTTATTCAGGTTCCTGGGCTCCTTTTTTTGTGGCTCCTTTATCCCCTAGGGTCTTGAATGGGGAGCATGATGGTGGTATCTGAGAGTTTTTTAACGGTCAGGGGAATGGCACACATCTTTATACAAATGATCAAATGGCCAGAACATAGTCATAGGGCCATGGCCATCCATAACTACAAGGGAGAGTGAGAAATGCAGTATTCTAAGGGGAAAAAAAGAAATAAATTTGTTAGGCAGAATCAGTTTTCTAGTCATGTGATAGATTAAGGCCTGTCAATTTATATTCTCTTACTAACACACACATTTGTAAGCAGGCTGGCAGTGATTAGAAGTAGAGTCTAGTAGATTCTTTTATCTGTACAGAGTTAGCTGGATCTTAACAGCTTGGCCCATAGTCAAACCAATAATCCTTACTTTCCTTAAATTACTGTATTATTTATTATCCTTGGAAATTACAGGGGTTTTCAGAGCTTCAAATTCTGTTAAGTTTTTATATACACTAGGCATAATTTCATTTTGTTTTCTTTGGATATTTAGTTTAGCTATTGATTTTATTATTTTTATAATCTTATTTTATTTTTTAAATTAAAACAATATTTTAGAGAGAGATAGCATGAGCAGGGCAGAGGGGTAGAGAAAGAGAGAGAATCCTAAGCAGGCTCCATGCTCAGTGCGGAGCTCAGCGCAGAGCTCAATCCCATGAGCCTGGGATCATGACCTGAGCTGAAATCAAGAGTTGGTCACTCAACCAACTGAGCCACCCAGAAGCCCCTATTTTTATAATTTTAAAGACACATTTCATTTTTCTTAGTTTTTTTCTCCCTTTCAAACCCACTAAAGATATTTGTGGAATGGGACATATGATAATAAGTGGCATATTTGGGTCATTAGAGAGTATTCCATTTCTTAATATTGCTATATTTGAAAAATTAGGCATATCTAGAAATGAAGGTAATAATGTCTTATAATTTTGAATTCTATATGTCTTTGTATTCTCAGGGCTTCGGTGTTTTTGATATTTGTGAAGAGCCACAAAACTAATAGGCCCTAACCATGACTATTTACAAGCATATATATTACTAAGATATTTTTAACAGCCTTCATCATATGATACACTTGCTGATTAACTTAATTGGTTAAAGGGTTTCATTAAAAAAAGCCCTGTGACTTTATTCCCCAATTAGTTTAATTTTGTTTCATAGGTACATAACTTACCTCTAATAGACATTAATAATTTTATAACCAGTTAAAAGTCCCATATGCATATATGTATGTGTTTGTGAGATGGAGTCCTGTATGCTCAGTTTATAAGTTAAGTTGTTATGTGTGTGAAGAGCTTCAAGTGAAAGTGTCAGCCTCTGTACTAGTCCAAGTGAGTGGATTTGTTTACTGAACTTTTAATAAACTATTAATCCAAGAATGAGAGGAGATAGTAATAGAAAAGAAGAGAGTGAATTGGGTATTAGGTAAAAGGCGAAAGATTTATACAATCTGAAGAGAAACCAGAGTGTGAGAGTGAACTGGGTATTAGGATATGAGACTACTGAGAGCTGGCAGTTTAGGAGGGGACATAGTGTATAGTCAGAAAAGTAGCCTCCAATGTGGGTGTCCCAGGAGTAGAGGGAGAGGAGGAATGCAGAGAGAGCCTCTAACAGGAATCCAACATCATCCTTCATGCATTATGCTTGTTTATTTTATATTAGTATAAATATATTTATATTTTTATATATATATAAATATATATATTTATTTATATATTGCAGTATTGCAGAGCTGCAATACTGACATTTGTCACAAGATGGCATCAAAAGCCTGAAGATTTTGGTTGAAATTTGAGTAATGGAGATATTTCATGAATATTCAAAACAAAAGAAATATGTATTATGAGGTATTTTTTAAAAATTTTGAGTGAGATTTTGGTATTTTCTTATCAAAAATACTTTCTTACTTATAAAAATATTATTGACATTATTGATGACTTATTCCTTTGGAAATAAGTGAAACATATCTTAGTGTATTAATATCAAATATCTTATTATCTTTCCCCAAGCAAGATTTAAAAAAAAATTTAAGTTAGCAAGCGTTTAGAAGGTCTTATTGTCCTGTGACTGTTAGTGTCTCTTTATGCAAATAGAAGATATAAATCCTGCCCCCAATGAGCTTTGAATTTAGTTGGGGAAAAAAGGAATGTATACACAGTTCAAAGAGATAACAAAATAATAAAGAATGATTAAGTACAATGCATGCATAGATTATACAAGCAATATGAACAAGAATAAGGGTAATTAAACAAAAATTGCAAATGGCATTTTACAGAAACATCCTTATATCAGCTGAAAACACCATACCGAATCTTCCTTTAACTGCGATTATCTATCTACTCTGATTACAAGTTATTTAAACTATAAAGAAGTGTTTAGCAATCTTGAGAGCTGTGTAAGTTTCAGTTTTGACACAAACATCATAAAATACTCACTTGAAATATGAACTCACCTTTTATCTCATGAATATATAATTTTATTTAATATATATTAAATATAAATAATAAAATATATTTTACATATATTTTATTACTAGTTGTGACATTCTTAGATTCCTGGAGTCTGACAAACATATCTATGTAGATATCTATATCTACACTTGAGATCAAGTGTAGGATGGTGGTTACCAGGGGAGGGAGAGAGGGAGAAAGGGATTTGCTGTTGAATAGATTTTGAGTTTTGCAAAATGAACAAGTTTTGAAGGTATATTTCACAGCTATGTGACTATACTTAGTACACTGACTATGCACTTAAAAATGGTTACAATGGTATTTTTTTAATAATAAGAAAAAAACAAGTGTCCTTCTATAAATTGAGCAACTAATAGGTTTTTATTGAGGATCAACAATGTTCCTAGCTTTATTTTAGTCATTACGAGCTACTTCAAAGAAATGAATGCCCCTTTAAGAAGCTTATAATATAGTTAATTGATGATAGATTAGCCCCATTACCAATAGGTAGGTAATCTACTGGAAGCCTAAAAATCTATGAAGCATTGTGCTAGACATTTTATATAAATTATTTCCAACCTTCAGTTTGCAAAACAATATAGGAAAATGAGTTTTATCATCCCTAATTCTCTATCTTTTCATTAAGGAAGCTAAGTTTTATAGACAGGAAGGTTTAGTACCTTGTTCAAGGTTGCAAAGTTTCCAATCTTGGAGTTGGTATTTAAACCCAAGTCTGTCTAGCCTCAAAATTCTTTTTGTCTATACTACGCCATGCCCCTAATTTAAATAAAAAGTAATTAAAGAATACAGATAAACAGCTAGTAATTGGCACTCTAGTTTGGTATTTCTGCTGTCAGCTAACATTGTTTCATTATAATTTTTCTGATGAAATTAAAAGAAAGGGTCTGTGATAGAATTAATGTTAGCAGTTAGTCTGGATTACATTTTAACCTGAGAAAGGGTAACCATATACTTTTTTTGTTGGCTTGAACTGTCTCTCTTTTTATTTCTAACTTTTGGAAACACTAATCTTTTTCCCTGTGTATTCGTGTGCAGGTTATGTGGGTATGTAATTTGTGCCGAAAACAACAAGAAATCCTCACTAAATCAGGAGCATGGTTTTATAATTGTGGATCTAATACATCACAGCAACCTGATCAAAAGGTTCTCCGAGGACTGCGGAACGAGGAGGCGCCTCAGGAGAAGAAGGCAAAACTGCACGAGCAGGCCCAGTTCCAAGGACCCTCAGGTGACTTATCTGTACCTGCAGTGGAGAAAAGTCGATCTCATGGGCTCACAAGACAGGATTCTATTAAAAATGGGTCAGGAGTGAAGCACCAAATTGCCAGTGACATAGCTTCAGACAGGTAAACATTTTGTTTAATCTTTAGGTAAACATTATTTTTAATCTTCATTCCAAACAGAAGTACAAATACTTTGAAATGTTTAGGCAACGAGTTGTCTAAATGTCATGTAAATGTCCATGTGTTTTATATGAATGCTGAAAGTGATGTTTAGGACTTGAGCTATTAGAGGTTTCAACAATCTTAGGTTTGATGAGGGAGTATTAGGTTATCTGATGTTTCAGAATAAAGAAATGAATTAAACTGAGGCTGGATAGAAGGTTATTGGCATAGGACAGACAGACTGGGATAAGAGCAATGGGAATGAAGAAGAGACAGTTTTAAGACATTTTAGAGAGGTTGGATGGAACAGACTAACTAGAAGTGGGAGATAAGAGAATGGGGAAAATTACTGATGTCTCTAGAATTTCTACGCTGGGCTGAAGGAAGAGGTAGTTTTCCAAGCGAAAGAGTTTTCGACGAAAGGGTTTCATGAGTTTGCTGTATCTGTGGGCTAATTGGGATCAATTCTATTGGCTTCTTCATGTTCAAAATATTAGACTTTTATACATAGTATTTATGGTTCTATATTTCCTACCTTTGAAAGGGGAGAATGAACAATTTTTATGGGAAGATTGCTTTTCTATATCATTCCCATTTGAATTGGAAATTGAAAAAATTATTTAATATATCTGGTTTATACTATTTTTGTTGTCCAGAAGTGGCACATAAATTTCTGTGTGAATACGCACAAAATTATGCATTTGTGAGAAAACAAATCTAAAATTATACTAATAGTATGTTGGGTTCTGAGCATTCATTTATCACAGGTAAGATAACTGGGAGTCACTTTATATTGTGGCTCAAGTTGTCATCCTGATGTGCTGCTGTGTCTTGTGAGACTAATAAAATGATGGCTTCACTAGTTCGTTTGAAAACTAGCAAAAGTCAAACAAGGTAATCCTGTCTTTGGGGAAAACAGTGGTGGTTTCATGGCTGAAATACTATGAACATGTCTCAGTGTAAAATCTCAGAAACCCAAGACTTTTAAGTTTAGAGGACCATCTTAGTTTGATTCAGGTCCACCTTAAGCAGACAAAGTAGTTTATTTGGAAGGCAACTCCAGGCACCACCTATAAGGGAGTGAGCAATGATCCAGTTAAGAGAAAAAACACAATACTGCACATTCAATGGCAGTTTGCCTTTTTTGGCAAACGTGTCTTAATTTTACCAGGATTTCTGGGAGACAGGATAGAATGGCCTCAGAGGTACCGTACCTAACGGGCAAGGAGATTGAAGTATTTATAAACCTTATCTTTCCTTTGTTATCGGTCTAGGGTTGTTCTTGGAGGGTGTTAACTCTTTGGAACTCATGCTCCAAACAGGTTCCTTTGGCCTGAGAAAGCACTTAGGCAGAGACAGTAAGAAGATTGTGCTATGTAGGGATTGGTAAACGATGAGGCAGTGTGGATTGGGACAGTGGCAGTGTCTGTTATACAAGGACTTCAGAAATCAATAAAGTCTGTAAAATGGCAACTATAATGGTCATGGTATATGAACGTGGATGAAAAAATAGATGATAACTAATGGAGATATTTTCAATGATGAATGAATGACTAAGTCCAATGAATAGTGAGAGTGACATATTCTGCAGACTAGATAGATGCAGGAGATAGTCTCCTTTGGAGTTTACAAAGATAGTTTTAGGAAGAATAAAGGGAAATACTAAAACACTGGATTACATAAAAGAAGATTAAGGTTTGGAATGTATATATCATCAGAAGTTGTAAATGTTAAAAATAAATCCAGTAAGTTTATGAGTGATTAATTCATTTTTGTAAGGAAGATAGAAACACATACGTCTCTAATCTTTGATGGAGGTGGTGATGAGAACAAAGATATCTCTTTCAATATTATCTCTCAACTCTTCTTTCATTGGCCTGAAGGAACAGTAGAATCTGATTTATTGTGGGGAAACTAGATACATTAGTTCTTTTTTTTTTTCTTTCCTTCTCTTTTGCCTGGTGACTTTGGGTTCCATTACTAGTAAATGTGTACCTTAATGACTGAAAGAATCCTGTCATATGCTTTTCTGAACATCAGGTAAGTGGAGCCAGTAGCTCCTTTTGTTGATAAGAATTCCTTTAGTCAGGGAAGAAGTTAGAGCTTAATATCAGATTTAGTAGTTATGTCTAGAATATAGAATTGGTTATAGTTGTAAAAGCTTTTATTTGGAAAATACTCTCTTCTCAAGAATAATTCCATTCCCCTTATTATAAGCAAAAAAAGAGCGTCTGTTTTATCATTATTAAACTCAGATTCTACAGCAATTTGTTTTGTTAGGTGTGTTATCTATGAACCTAGTGAATTCTTTCCCCTAGGGCATGGGGTGGGTTATGGGTCAGCAAACTACGCCCCCAGGCCAAACCTGGTTTGCAACCTGTTTTTTTGTTTTGTTTTGTTTTGTTTTGTTTTGTTTTTTGTTTTGTAAATAAAGATTTACTGGAACACAGCCATACCTTTTCATTTACTTTTTGTTTATGACTATTTTCAGCTATAGCTCAAGGGCTGAGAATTACAAGAGACCATATGGCTCTCAAAGCTGAAAGTATTTACTCTCTGACCCTTTACAGAAAATGTTGGCCAACTCCTGCCCTAGAGGGTAGTTAGCTCTTTTGTTCTATTGATGTCTCCTTTCTTTGCCCACTATCTTTTGTTACTGTATAAATATTTGAGTTAAGCCTGCTTTCCTGTTCTGCTCTCTCTGTCCACTTTGCAGCCTCTTCTCTCTCTTTTCTTCCTTTTTGTCCGGGTAAACCGCCCCCCCCCCCACCTCTCTTTTGCTCTTTTTCTCTCCTTATCTCTCCCCTTTTCTTACCAGAGTGGATCTTTGAGCAGTTTGAGTTGGACTGTGAAATGGAGCTACTGATAAGGAATATAACTTCAGTTTAAAGTATTATTAGTAGTTTGTTTCCTCAATACCATTCAGAAACTGGTGGTCTCAAAAAGAGAAGCTTTGGTTCAATTATTTTAAATCTCTACGCATCTTAGAATTGTGTTGGACAGATACAAAAGTACGTTACTTTTTCTTCTTTTAAGGAGTTTTAGTTTAATCTTTAACTGCATTCTACAATAGTTTCGACCTGTTTTATGACTTCTCCCCTCCCAGGTTTTGGCATGGTGTTTTACACATAGACCCTTAGTATTTATTGAGTGAATGAGTAGCAGTTGGCCCTAGACCTTAGTTTTGAGTTAATAAGTATTTACTTAATTTATTCATAAAATGGTGAATATTTATTATCAGTATAGATGTAAAACATTGTTAGAAGTTTTCAAACATTTTTTTAAATTTCAGAATAAGTTTTGAAATAACCATTTAAAAAATTAGGTACAGTTTGCTTACCCTTTGTCATGCCCCCCAGAAATGCCCAGTGACTTCTCAGCCTTTAATTTACATACATATAATGTGGTGATCATATTAAAATATAGATTTGAGTTTGGTAGGTCGGAAGTAGGGCTTGAAAATCTGTATTTCTGACAAGCTTACAAGTGATGCCAGTATTTAGTACAGGCTGGTCGTGAGGCATCTAAAAATACCTTAAGAAGGGAAACAACAGTGGCCTTTAGTAGCTCAGTGACACTCGTCTTCTATACCACTGACACTAAGCGGCATATATAAGCGAACATGTAAGGTTCTTGGAAGCAACATAATTGTACGTTTGAATACACTGACATCTTTACTGAGTGGGGGTCAGAAGGTGACCTGGTGGCAGATTGACTACATTCATGTGGCTGCAAGCACCTAGATCCTTTATTATGACACGGTGGCTGAGAATTTACTTATTTAAATATGTTCTATTTTTAAAATAATATATTTCTTATTTGTTTCCTCTCTATTATACAGTTAGGAATATATGTCTTAAATACTGTATATATAGTTAGGATCTTTTACTTCTGGATGATTCATTTTCAAGACAGTAAAGGGGATATTACCAAATAGTTATTTTACAAAGAGGCGTTGGGATGGAGGAAGGATGTGAACCACTAGGCTAAGGAATCAAAGGTAGGATCTAGAAGAAGGTGGGTGAAATAACCATTAAAAAAACTATATTTTTTGTTAAGAACATAAAATTAGGTAAAAGTTAAAGTAAACCTATCAACATTTAGTTGATGTTTTATACACTTGAAATAATTTAAAAGTTGCATGCTTCATAATTTTCCTTCTTTTTCATAATTTTCATAGTTAAAAATTAGTTAAAATTTAGGAAAGAGTTTATATAAAATTTTACTGTTTATTTAACACTTCTTAGGATGTTGGGAGAAGTTAAAAAGTAAGAAATATTATGGCTAATTTGTTTGGTGGGAAGTCAGAAGACATAGTCCGTGTTCTTAGGTCTTCTCATTATTGTTATCATTTGTAGGTGTCTATCTTTTGACTGTGTCTCAGTTTTCCCCTCTCTGGAATAGGAAAGGCAGGCAGTTAGATCTCAAAAGACTTCCAGTTCTAAAATTCTTTGTTATGTTGTATTTTAAGGTCTCTGCTATGGTATAAACTTGAAAGTACTCTCTTTCATTATTTTTTTTCTTTCCTATAACTGGTAGTCTTGTGTTCAATTACTAGAGGGTTATCTTCATTCATATTGTGATAACTCATTATTATATTCCACTTATTCAACAGATATTGATCAAATTTCACCATAGATATTATTTGTTACTACATGGCTCAAATAATTTCACCATGATTCATGTATAAAACTGAATGTATCTGGCATATTAGGTTAAATCTCCAATAAGGACATTTTGACTCTAATCTTGTAATTATATTATTATGTAATATTTCTCACTCTATCTTTTCCTACTTTTTTATTCTCTTGCAAAACTACAATTAATAAGCAATAGGAAAAAGTAAGAATTAACTGCCTCTAATGGACTACGCAGCGTTTTAAGAAACATAACTACAAAAATAATATTTCTTAGGCATGCCAGATTCTTAAGTATTTGTTCCACATTTTACTGCTTAAATA